TTGTGCTCCCTAGAGTTAGAAAACCTCAAGTCCTTGAGAATTCAACAAAAATAAACCTTATATCAGCATCCCCAAGCAACAATTCGTACTAAATGTATGATTGTCAATTAATACAATATTTACGACATGCCATGTCTGATCACGGGAAATAAGCCATTTCGTTATAAATGCCTCCATTGACTTCATGGTGGCTTTACAAAAAAAATAGATAACAAAACGCATAAAGACACCATAACCTGTTGTGCAGTAACCCAGAGCTGATTGCGGAGGTAATTCAATACAGAGAGTATGTATGAGATTATTGGACTTGACCTTCGCATTGTTGGTGGGGGCAAAAATTAAGAAAAAAAAACTTTTTTACTTCTCTGTAAAGTAAAACAACTTTTACTTTCTTAGATTTATTTTGTATTTTAAGGAAACTATCAAAATGTTGTCTTTCAATTAAACGCTGTGTAATTGATAGCGGTGGGTGTGGGTTTTCTTTACTACCAGTTTGTAACATGATTTATTGACGACTGCCTATAGTTGGTGTTAGAAGAATGTTTGCATATGTTTTTGTTTGAAATCAATTTTATTTCAGAATCACTGTTGTCTAATGCAGACACTATGAGACTATAGGAATTGTAATATTTTTTTAAACTATTCAAAAAAATTAAAAAAAAATAGCTATTAAATCAATGAAGTTGTCGGTACCTACCGGGTGCGTTCTTAGTTTGATGGTCATAATAATCTATCACAATCAGTTAAATATGGAAGTAATGGGACCAAAATTACAGTGTTGCCCTGATATAAATATTCCCATATTTATAGTAGAATGAATGATGAATGATGTACGGTTGATATATTACAAAAAATATTATTCTTAAAAAATATTCTTTAAAAACATAAGTTCGGATTGTCTGTATGTTTTTAGTCTAAGCTCTGATAGTCCTTGAAAAAATGTTCTCTTCAAAATCTACGTTTTGATAGTCCTCGAAAAAAATATTTTAAAAATTTACGCTTTGACAGTCCCTGAAAATAATATTCTTGTAAAAATCTATTCTTTGATAGTCCTACAAAAAATATTCTTTTAAAAATCTATTATTTTATAGTCCTTCAAAAATTATTCTTTGAAAATCTATGAGGCATTGAAAAATCAGGGCGGGCCGACTATATGAATATACCCTTCACCACTTTGGGTATATTCACAGATGAATCCTAACATTGTAAATCCATTTAAAGCAAATATCAATCGGACACCCGTTGATTATTTGTATAAATAACTGAAAAACATGAGATGTTTGGTGCACCATTTATTTAAAATCGGACGAAAATATATATAAAAGCTATATCGAAATATAAACCTATTTCATCGAAACTTGTCACAGGTTAGGTTATACAGATTTCAGTATGTTTTATGCATATCGACCAACTTTCGAGTTCTTGGTACATCATTTATATAAAATCGGGAGAAAAAACATATGTTAGCTCTATCCAAATTTGAACCGATTTCAAAACAAATTTCCACATGCGAGGTTATATTAACTTCAATATGTTGTGCAAAATGTTCTATCAATCGGCCTAACGTTGGGTCTTTGGTGTACCATTTAACTAAAATCGGACGAAAGTATATATGGGAGCTATATCTAAATCGGAAAAAATTCCTACAAAATTTTGCAAATCAATTTCAGTACGTTGTGCATAATTTTGTAGCAAACGGACTAACTTTGGGTCTTTCGTGCACCTTTTACTTAAAATCGGATGAAACTATATCTAAGAGCTATATCTAAATCTGAACCGATTTCAACAAAACTACACATTATGTTATAGTATCTTCAGTACGTTGTGCAAAATTTTGTACCAATCGGACCCACCTGGTGTATAATTCATATTTATCTTCTAGGTTATACTAACTTCAGAACGTTGTGCAAAATGTCAAATGTCAAAAATGGTGTCAAATTTGTGTAAAAAAAATATATATATATGTAGAAGCTATATCTAAATCTGAACCAATTTCAACGAGACTTGCCAGAGATTTATTTATATAAGCTACAGTTCTTTGTACAAAATTGTGTACCAATCGGACAAACTTTGGGTCTTTAGTGCACAATTTACATAAAATCGGAAGAAAATATATATAGGAGCTAAATCAAATCCGTAGAAAATATGGGAGCAATATCTATATCTGAACCGATTTTCACGAAACTTAACACAAATCATTCTACACTTTATTCAGTACGCTATGCCAAATTTCGTGCAAATAGAAATATATATGTGGACTTTGGTGCACCATTTACATTTAATCGGACGAAAATATATATGGGAGCTATATCTAAATCTGAACCGATTTCCACGAAACTTAACACACATCATTCTAGACTTTATTCAGTACGCTATGCCAAATTTCGTGGAAATCGTAAGATATATAGGGACTTTGGTGCACCAGATACCTTAAATCGGACAAAAATATATATGAGAGCTATATCCAAATATGAACTGATTTTCAAGAAACTTGACACGCATTATTCTATGCCGAATTTCGTGCAATTTACCTTAAATCGGATGAAGATATATATCGGAGCTATATCTAAATCTGAAACGATTTTTCCCAATTTCAATAGGGTTCTTCCTTGGGCCAAACAAGTGAGCTGTGTCAAATTTCATCCAATTCGGATCATAAATGCGACCTGTACTTTGTTTACAATTTAACATGGACAGACGGACGGACGAGCATGCATAAATCGACTCAGAATGTTGTTCTACGCATATTCTCAAAAGGAACCATAGGTCTATCTCGATTATTTTATTAAAATATACTTAAAAATTTATACTTATAGTCCTTGAAAAATTATTATTTTAAAAATCTACGTTTTGATAGTCCTTGAAAAAATATTCTTTTGAAAATCTACGCCTTAATACTCCTTGAAAAATTTTTTTTTTTGAAAATCTACCCTTTGGAAGTTCTTGAAAAAATATTCTTTTTAAAATCCACGCCTTGAGAAAATCTACGCTCCGATAGTTCTTGAAAAATATAATTTTTAAACCTACGCTTTGATAATTCTTGAATAAAATATTCTTTTAAAAATCTAAACTTTGATAGTCCGATTTATAGTCGTTGAAAAAATGCCTTTAAAAAAGTATTCTTTTAAAAATTTGCGCTTTAACAGTCCTTAAACTTAGTCCTTTTAAAGATCTACGCTTTAATAGTGCGTAATAAATATTTTTATTTATTTATTTGGAGAATATGCGCTTTGATAGTCCTACAAAAAATATTCTTTTGAAAATCTATGATTTGATAGTTCTTAAAAAAATGTATTTTCCATATCTAGGCATTGATAGTCCTTCAAAAAATATTCTTTAAAAATCTATGATTTTGTAGTCGTTGAAAATTTTTTTTTTTTAAAATGCTTCATAGTCCTTGAAAAACTGTTTTTATACCCTTCACCACACTGTGGTACAAAAATTATTTTTCATATGTTTGTAACAGGCAAAAGGAAACGAGATAGACACATGGTTCCTTTTGAAAAATGCATAGAATCACTTTCTAAGTCGATTTATGCATCTACGCGTTGTCTGTCCATGTTAAATTGTAAACAAAGTACAGGTCGCATTTATGATCCGAATTGGATGAAATTTGGCATAGGTCACTTAAAAACGAACTATTGAAATTGGGAAAAATCGGTTCTTTTTAGATATAGCTCCCATATATATATTTAACCGATTTAATGTATTCCCATATATCTTTGAAAAAATATTTGGTACAGCCTAATCATTTAGGTCTAGAGTGATGTCTGCCAAGTTTGAAAAAATATTCTTTTAGAAAATCATATATAGTTTCGTCCGATTTCATGTAAATGGTTTTTCCCTATATATTTTTCGATTTGCACGAAATTTGTCATAACGTACTGAATTGAGTTGATGCAATCCAAGTTTCGTGAAAATCGGTCCAGATTTTGATATAGCTCCCATATATAGTTTCGTCCGATTTCATGTAAATGGTGCACCAAAGTCCCTATATATCCTTCGATTTGCGCGAAATTTGGCATAACGTACCGAATTGAGCATAACCTAACCTGTAAGAAGTTTCGTTGAAATCGCTACTATATTTGTATATATCCTTCATATATATTTTCGCCCGATTTTTAGTAAGTTGGGCATCAAACTCATCATGTTAGTCAGATTGGCATCAAACTTTGCACAACGTACAAAATTGAGCATAGAATAACGTAGTTGCGTTTTCTAGAAGTACAGAAGTAGCCCAACGGATGACCTATTGAAATTTGTTTGAAGTCGATTTACATACTTTTGTCGCATTGCAACGAACGAATGACATGTTTATATATGGATTTAAGTTGTTTGAAATTTAGATAAATATCACATATTTTATTTCATCCAGTTTCATGTTAATAGTCCTGTTTAATATACCCATAGTGGTGAACATCGATTGCCCCTTGAAAAACTGTTATTTTTTACTGGTTTTAATCTACATATTTATCCACTGACCTTTAAATTTTTGTTTTTTAAAATCACAAACACCATATGCAATGTTTTTGTCTTAATTTTTATCTAAGAATTCTCGTGTATTTTATTATTGAGTATTTTTTTTAAATCAGAAAACAAACAAAATCAAAAAATAAAAAATTTTAATGGATACAAATTCATGAAATAAGTCTTTGTCTTTCTTCGTTTTTATTATATTATTTGTCGAAACAACCAAGGATATTTATATAAAAAAGGATATAAGATAATGGGGAAAACGAATGGCAAGAATAGGCTAGAGGAGGATAAAATGCAGGGATTGGAAATATGGAAATCATAGACAACATCATCATCAATCTTAAGAAAATAGAGAAAATATTTATAAAACAGCACACATTATTGATGATAGTAGTGGTGGATATGATTGAGAGTATTCCATGAGCGTGAGAGAGACATTCAAGTAATAGGGTGAGAGTGAGAGCGGACGGGCGAAAAGCTAAGGCAGTGCATTTGTAGACAGTATTAACCAGTTTAATTTCCATCACATTGTCCGACTGACTTAATTACAATAGGGGAAATTGGGACAGCTGTGGGGGCTAACACCAGCTGGGTACTGACGTTCGGTGAAACCGGGTAGTGGTGGAGCGGGAGCAGCAGAACCACCAGCATTCACATCACAGAATGGATAGTTGGGGCAGGAGTGAGGATTCACACCGGCTGGGAATTTATCAGCAGCAGCGGGAGCAGCTGGAGCAGGAGCACCCCATTGAGGTTGTGGTTGCCATGAGGGTTGGGGTTGTTGCCACGATGGTTGTGGTTGCCATGAGGGTTGAGGTTGCTGCCACGAGGGTTGTGGTTGCCAGGCGGGTTGTGGCTGTTGCCATCTGGAAGCGGGATTATGCAGGCGGGCATTATCACAGATGGGGAAACCGGGACAATCTTGAGGATTGACACCGGCTGGGTATTGGGCAGCTTGGGGTTTGGCACACGCCACAGCGGCCAAAGACAAAATTACCTGGAAGGGAGGCAAGATAGATAGGAAATATTATTTACTAAGAAAATATGTTTAATAAAAATTGATGAGGTTAAAAAATAAATAATTTTCTCATTTGTAGTGTTTTTAAGAGTATTTTATAGGAGTATCAAAGAGTAGATTTTTAAGAATATTTTAAAGAAGTATCAAAGCGTAGATTGTTGTAGGAACAATCAACAAGTATTTTTTTTTTTTGAAATTTTATATTTTTTTTTAGAATTTTTTTTTTAAAAAATATATATTATATAACAACGCTTTTATAGCGTAGATATATAAAGAATATTTTCTCAATGATTATATAGAGTGGATTGTATTTTTTCAGGACAATTAAAGCGTACATTTTTAAGAGTCATTTTAAAGGATTTTTGTAAAGATTTTTTCTATTAAAGCCTTGGTTGCATAAAGAACATGTTTTTCAAAGAGTATCCAATTTTTTAGGACTATTAAAATATAGCCTTGTTAGATAAAATTTAGCACTATTAAAGACTATTAAGGGGAGCCCCCATTCTCGGTGTCAAATTTTTTTTAATTTAATAATCTACACTTTGAAGAACTAATATTTTAAAAATATTGGTTTTAATAGACTTTCAAAAATGTTTTTTTAAAAATCTATGCTTTAATAGTCTTTAAAAAAATATTACTTTGAAATCAACACTTTGATAGCCCTTGTAGAAATACTACTTTAAAAATCGATAGTCATTCAAAAAATTTCATAATCTACACTTTGAAGAACTATTATTTTAAAAAAATTTTTTTTTTTTTTTAAAAAATCTATGCTTTAATAGTCTTTCAAAAAAAATTCTTTTAAAAATCTACGCTTTAATAGTCTTTGAAAAAAATTTCTTTTAAAAATCTAGTCTTTGAAAAATTTTTCTTTTAAAAATCTACGCTTTAATAGTTTTTGAAATTTTTTTTCAAAAATTTCTTTTAAAAATCTACGCATTAATAGTCTTTGAAAAAATTTTCTTTTAAAAATCTACGCTTTGATAGCCCTTGAAAAAATATTCTTTCAGAAATTTTGATTGTCTTTAACAAAATATTGTTTAAAAATTAAAAAATCGACGCTTTGATCGGTTTTTATACCCTACACAACTATGTTGTCAGGGTATTATAGCTTTGTGCAGCCCCAAAAGTTTGTAACGCTGCTTAATATTGGTCCTAGACCCACCTTTAAGTATACCGACTTTCCGTTAATCTCGAAAAGCAACAACAACAAATGTGTGTACGTCCGTCTGTCCATTATAATTTGTAAACACGATAGAGGCCACAGTTATGGACCAATCTTCACGACATTTTGCATGTAGGATAGGTTCTGCCCAATGAAGACCCCCTATTGTTTTTGGTAAAGATCGGTTAATATTTAGGGGATGAAATGGACAAAAACTAAATTTTTGTAAAAATGATTTTTGTTGCTTTAAAGGCCGCAATTATGACCCAAACAAAAATTTCTACATGGAGAAAATTTAAAGGGCCAAAGAATAAGCATGCCTGTTTTGATAAAGATCGATCAATATTTAGCGGGTCAAATGGACCCTAACTTTTGTGTGAAAAATTACAAAATGTGTATTATATAGCGTATATATTTACTCCTGAATGACATAGAGCCGAAGAGTTGATAGTATATCCAAGAGGAGTGGTTAACCTATAAATTGATACCAATTATATTGTCGTATGTACTCGGATGCGGGAGTTACATTTAAATATTTACAGTGCTACGTACTCAGATATTATTTAGTAACACATTACCACACTGGAGGCGGAAAAAAATTTAATAATCTGAAAATTTCCATGAGGATCCAGGAATGGTTAAGGATGACGCCTATTTTTTTCGGTGATGAAAAATAATAATATTTAGATGAGGTCTTTGAAAAAATTTTTTGTTTTTTCTAGTCCATATATAGTCCACAATTGAAAGTCGAACATCATTATACAACCCACCGTGAAGGGAATCTGGACAATAATTATAAGGGATTTACTGAATATAAGTAGTATTTGTTGACCTCTAGTCGGTCAAGAGGGTGTAAAATAAAAATATTTTCCATGCTCAGAATATATAACCACAAAAAGTTAGATTTTCGTGGAAGTTGTGTAGGGTATCATATGGTCGGCCCCGTCCGACTATACTGCTCCGCTCACTGGTTAAATTTTTAAAAAAAAATATTTTGTTAAAGACAATCAATCCTTCAAAAATTTTAAGAATCTATACTCTGACAGACCTTTAAACAATATTCTTCAAAAAGTCTACACTTTGACAGACCTTCTTTTAAAAATCTACGCTTTGTCCTTGAAAACCTATTCATATAATAATATTGACTTTAATAGTTCTTGGAGAAATGTTTTTTTTTTTAAGTCTACGCTTTGATATTCCTTGAAAAAATATATTTTTTTAACTAGGATTTAATAGTCATTAAACAATTTATATTAAAAAATCTACGCTTTAGTAGTCCTTGAGAAAAATATTTTTTAAAAAATCTTTGCTTTGATATTCCTTGGAAAATTTTTTTTTTTTTTTTTTTTTTTTTTTTTGAAATTTAGGCTTTGCTAGTCATTGTAAAACATATTTAATCTTCTTCGCTTTGATAGTCCTTGAAATACTATTCTTATAGTCTTTGGAAACCATTTTGTATTAAAAATATGTAATATTTATATTAAAAAATCCACACTTTACACTCCTTGAAAAACTATTATTTTAAATATGTTGGCTTTAATAGTCCTTGAAGAAATATATATATATATATATATATATATATATATAGTCCCTGATTTTTTTAAATCTTATTAATCTGTGAAAAAATATTCTTTCAAAAATCTTTACTTTGATAGTCCTTTGTTTTGAAAATTCAAAAAAAAACTATAATTAAACCAGTGAGCGGAGCAGTATAGTCGGACGGGCCGACCATACGATACCCTACACAACTTCCACGGAACTCTAACATCCTGCGGAAGTTTATTCTGAGCCTGGGCAATAGTTCGCGATATTTGCACCCTATTGCCCGATTAGAGGTTAACAGCACCTCTTCCTACACAGACATATATTCCGAATATTACTAATATTCAGTACAGCCCCTCTAATTACTTGTCCAGATTCCCTTCACCGTGGGCTGTGTTGTAATGTTCGGGTTCTAATTGTGGTCTATAGATCGACTCGAAAACACACACAAAAAATAACTTTTCGGTCCACTTCATCCCAAAATTATTATCTAATCATCACCGAAAATTATAGGCGTTGTCTTTGACCATACCTGGACCCTCGTGGAAAATTTCAAACCGATCAGCGCTATATTTTCGCCTTCCAGTGTGGAAATTGGTTATTAAATAATATCTCAGTACGTAAGCACCTGTAAATATTTAAGTGTAACTCCCACATTCGAGTACACAGGACAATATAATTGGTATAGATTTAAAGGTCAACCACTCCTCTTCGATATACTATCAACATTTTGGTTCAATGCCCTTCAGGAGTAAATTAATACGCTATAGAATACAATTTTTGTAATTTGTCACACAAAAGTCAGGGTCCATTTGGCCCGCTAAATATTGACCGATCTTCATCAAAACAGGCATGCTTATTTTTTGGCTCGATAGCCTTCACCATGTAAAAATTCGCTATGTTTGGGCCATAATTGCGGCTTCTGGAGCGACCAGAAAATCAGACAAAAATAAAGTTTTTGGTTCATTTCATCCCTCAAATATTAACCGATCTTTACCAAAAACAATAGGGGTCTTCATTGGCCAAAACCCATCCTACATCCAAAATTTCGTGAAGATTGGTGGCCTGTATCGTGTTTACAAATTATAATGGACCGACGGACGGACGGACACACATATCTAGATCCACTCAGCTAGTCGAGATATGACGATCGGTATACTTAAACCCACCTTTAAGTATACCAATATTTCGCGACGTTACAAACTCTTGGGGCTGCACAAAGCTATAATACCCTGATAACATATTTGTGTAGGGTATAAAAAATCGACGCTTTGATAGGTTGGAACCTAGGAAGAGATCCGAAATTACAGTCTTCCAAGTTTTTTTCTTTTATTTTCAAATGACAAAAATTTTCAAAAAAGAAATCGATTCAGATATTTTTTGTAGATTAATTAAATTTGAATTATATACAATTATGGGAGCACGTTTTTAATATTTCGAATAGTATTCTAAGTAATTTAAGGTTGATCCATGATATTTTTAAATAGTCATTTATTTGCATTTTGATTTCACTTTCATTCCTTTTTTCGATTTCACTTCCATTAATTATTCAATTTTTAAATCACTTTGTGTTATTTTTTTTTTAATTCACAACCACATCCTTTAATCCACATAATCCTTGTTCAGTGCAATGCAATGTTACTCCTTGGGTTTCCTTCCACTTACCAATTTTGTAAACATTTTTTTTTTCAATTTCTTTTTATAAAAAATTACGAAGAAAGATTAGAATTGAGTTGAAAATAGAATTAGTTTCACAAAAACAATTGAACTATATTTCCAATTAAGAAAAATAAACTTCCAATTGGTTTTCGTTGTGAAACTAGACTGTGATAGATTCTTAAAATGTTTACCTTACTTATATACCAATAAACAGATGGATGGCGGACGGACGGCCAGGCATGGCATGGCAGCGACAGTAACAGCAAAATAACCAGGCAGACAATAAGCCAGCGCCCGACAGCAGCAACAAAAGAAAAAAAACTCCGTTTGAATTTGACTTTTGTTTTTGTTTTATTATTTCTATATTTTTTCTTATTTTATTATTTTTTTCTAAATTGAAAGCGAAATGCATTTGTTTCTCGCTGTTGTTGTAGAGCACATTAGAACAAACACCTCTGCCGTGGTTGCTGGTGGTCTGGCATGTCTGTCTGCTGCCTGTTTGTATGTCTCTCGCTGTTGTTTTCATTGCACCTTAGTGAGTGTTTGTCCCTCCGTTACAGCGATGCCTAACTACTATTGCTTTTTGCCAACAAGCTAATCCGACATACAGACAGTAAGTCAGTTAGCCAGTCAGTCAGTCTGCCAACCACTCAAATCGACATAACTTGCTCGCCTTACACTCCACCCTTTTGTTGAACAAAAATAGAAAAAATAAAATAAAATTGTAAAATGTAGCAACCCTCGTTTTTTTGTCTTCAGAGCATTTCGTCAGTTAAGTTACACTCTTGTAATGAATGTATATCGAATCCGAACATTGCCACCATTATCATCAATAAACAAATTGGATACCCTACTTTATTTGTATGGGATAAAAGGACAGATTCAAGGAGTCATGAAGGAAAAATTGGTTTCTAAAATCCCACATAGCCAAAAGGTGGGCTATATTAGTTCCATTTATATCCGCGACTGATACGAACGGATATAATTTGTTGTTCCATACAGGATTTGAACATATGGAAATTCTTCAAGAGAGAAGGTGTGGGTTTTTGAAATTACCAAATGTGTTATTGTGCTAATAGATTAATATTAGGGGTTTAAATGGAACTTAGCTTTTGTGTTTTATTCAAAATCCACAAAGTCAAGTTTCGAGTAGTATATAAAAATGGAAAGCTTAGTGTTGATGCCATCGATGCCAATAAAAATAATTTTGAAAGAACACATTTTCATTTTACGACGAATAGTATCTCTACCGATAACCCGATGATCGAATGTTGACATAAGTTAACTATGATTCTTTTTTTCTGATTTTTTAGGTCTCTGGGCCTCATTGGTTATGGAATTGACAACAAGAACGTAAACTGCCAGCACTAATTATTATATGTTGCGTATGATTTCTAACACAAATCATACGCCACCTTTTACCATATTAATATTACTAATACGCACAAGTAGTGATATTCTGTAAATATTTAACGATAGAATTGCCGAAAATTTTTCATAAAGGAAAAACTGTTGTGCAAAAAATTGTTTATTAGGTTTGCCTGTGTTTATATTCGATAATTGGGAAAACCTGTCAGCTCCTTCTGGAACCTCCCCAACAAAATGGTCAAAATTGTGCAAGCTCCGCTATTTTGTTAATTTTTGAGCGAAGTCAATAATCCTAGCTCATACGAGAGTCAGGCATGTACACTTTCTAACAACCTTGGAATTTCCGGATTCCGATGTTCCAGTAAGAACTATTCTTTAATCATGGCTATTCTTTAATCACCAAAAACAACAGCCAAATTTTTAAAATTATTATTCATTTTTTTTTTAAATCTTCAATGGATGACGTAGGGAATGATAGATTCCAAGCAACGGCTCTGATTGGCTTTAACATGGCGAAATCCAGGCTTATCTTTCACTGAACTCCCCGTGGTGCCACCTGGGGTACCTATTTTCATCACCCGATGAAATAGTAAGCTAATATGTGCCGCGAGTTCACCCATAACAACGATAAAAAATGGGTTGAGGCGTCGGGTCAGTTTGAAAAAGCAAAGAAAAAGAAAACCAAACCCCCCATAATGTTGACGACCCCCGCAAACGTATAAAGGACCACGATCTGCGAATCTTCACTTGCAATTTGCGTACGTTGTACAGAACAGGCGCAGAGTTCGCTTTGGCGGATGTACTCAAGAAGCACAAAGCCGATATTATTACCTTACAGGAAATGCGATGGAAAGGGACTGGCGTAAATAAATCAGAAGATTACGCCCTGTATTATAGCTGACATGAAACAAGACGTGAATTTGTCTGCGGATTTATGGTTAACAGGAGAATAAAAGACCTCGTCTCCAGATTCTCTCCAGTGTATGAGCGAATTGCTATAATCCGTATAAAAGCGAAGTAGAAGAACTTCGCTTTTATCAGTCTCATTTGCACCCATGCTCCGACCGAAGATAAAGATGAACAGAGCAAAGACATATTTTATGAGCCCCTAGAAACAGCATATGATCGTTGCCCTGGCCATGACATTAAAATTGTGCTAGGAGATTTTAATGCAAAAATCGGAAGGGAAAATATCTTTGCCCCACCGTCGGAAAATTCGCGGCAGCAAAAACCATGGTAGTTAGCAGCACCAGATTCAAGCATCTCGATATACACAAGGCCACTTGGATTTCTCCCGATAGAACAACGAAAAATCAAATCGATCATGTTGCGATTGACGGAAGGCATTCATCCAGGGTTTTAGACGTCCGATCGATCCGAGGAGCGAATATCGATTCGGACCATTAACTTGTGGCAGTCAAGGTACACACCCCTCTTAATGTAGCAGCAAAGGTGCGATCTAATGTAACACGGAAATTTGATGTCGAAAAGCTACACACACAACAGATAGCAGAAGCCTACTCTGCTCATCTTACCCAACTGCTTGACGAAATCACCCCTTGTCCCAATAATAATATAGAAGTACAATGGCAGAGAATTGCCCACTCCCTACAAACTGCAGCAAAAGCAACACTTGGGTACCAACGATCACCATCAAGTAAGAAGGAAACCTGGTGACAGATACGGACAGCGTGCTGAGGATCTGAAAGGAGCATTTTCAAAAACTTCTGGTATCAAATAGTAGCGGTGAAGAGGATACCCCAGAACCAATAATAGATGACAGTATAGAGTGTATACCACTTAGCCAAGATGAAGTCAACATAGCAATCAGGTGCCGATGGGTTACAAGCCGAACTATTCAAGACTGGTGGCCAGATGCTGGTAAGGAGCATGCACCAGCGGATAAGTACAATTTGGCTAGAAGAATGCATGCCCAATGATTCGAACCTCAGCATCCTGTGTCCCGTGCACAAAAAACGAGACAAGACGATATATGTCAACTATAGAGGAATAAGTCTCCTTCCCATCGCATATAAAGTGCTATCCAGCGTACTGTGTGAACGACTGGAGCCAATGGTCAATGACATTATTGGACCATACCAATGCGGCTTCAGACCTGGCAAATCCACCATTGACCAGATTTTCACTCTGCGCCAAATGCTGGAAAAACCCACGAAAAACACATCGACACATTCCACCTATTCGTCGACTATAAGGCCGCATTCGACATCCCTATCCGTTCAGAGGTGTACAGAGCCATGTCTGCGTTTGGCATTCCTGCAAAATTAATACGGCTATGCAGAGTAACTTTAACTGGCACAAGATCAGCAGTTAAAGTCGGAACGGACCTCTCGGAGCCAAAATTACAAAAAAAATAATTTTATAATATAATGCGAATGGAATATCCGATTTTAAACACACATTCTAAAAATATGGAAATAATTGATTCACTACTTCTAGTACTTCTATCACAAAGTTTCAAAATATTGAAAATTTGTGAATCTGATATTAAACAAGCGGAATATCCAATTTCATGCAAACTGGTACTACTCTCACAAAATTTTGAAAATTTGGAAATTGAATATCAATCGAATTTAATATCCGATTTAATCAAAACTTTGCAATACTTTAACCAAACCTAGATCAAACGGAAGACGCCTATCCATTTCTTCTGGTAGCTCGCTCACAATGTGTCAACATTTCGAAAACAACATTTCTCTAAATTAAAGTACGTTTACATTGTACTGGATTTGGTTAACCTGGTAAAAAGTTCTAATGTAAATGCCGTAGTAAGCCTTTACGATCAAGTAAAGTAAAGTATGGTATTTTCAATTCTGCCACACCTCCACACCATTTTCAAAAATTCCTTTATACATTTCGGCATTCTTCTTCGTCTTCATAATGTGTTTTTTTTCTAACTGTTTTCAAAGTTCAACATTTAGTTGTACAAATTTGCACTTAATTCTGCTATAGAGTTTATTCGAATTTGTTGTTTTCATTTGTTTTTCTTTTCATGCAGACCTCAAACTTGTTGCAATTCGATTTTTTTGCAAATTTTGAAGAAAAAACAATAACAACAACAATAAAAGAAATATGCAACTGATCGCATTTTTCTGTTGATGCCAACAATATGATTATTTTTATAAGTATTGTTGTCTATGATGTGTCTGAATGTGTGTGTGTTTGTATGTGTTTTTAGTTAGGTGTACAACAACATAGTCTATATTATTATTAGTGTGGCTAACAACAACAAAAATTCCAGCATTTAGTTTAATAAAACAAGCTAAAAGTTGAAACAAAAATCCACGAGAATATTATTGTAAAGTTTTGCAGATTGCCGCCACCTTTCAACCTACATGCGGCAGCTTGGCAATACATACGTGTCGATTTAATACGAGTTCAAACAACAACAACAAAATACAGAAATCTTGTCCATTCTATCAATAGTTGTTGTTGCTGTTGCTGCTGTGAGAAGCGGCCAACAACAACAACGTACCCAACAATTAGTGGCCACACAACTTACATTGGCAATGGACTCTTAACGTCATGTCAAAAGCAACTTTCATTGAATTGTTTGCGTTTGCCTTTTCTTCCCCCACCCCCTCAATTTGTTGTTGTTTTCTTGTCTTGCATTTGTGCATTAGATATATATGACA